AAAATATTCTTTTAAAAATGCACGCCTTGGATAGGCCTTGAAAAAATATTCTTTTAAAAATGCACGCCTTGGATAGGCCTTGAAAAAATATTCTTTTAAAAATGCACGCCTTGGATAGGCCTTGAAAAAATATTCTTTTAAAAATGCACGCCTTGGATAGGCCTTGAAAAAATATTCTTTTAAAAATGCACGCCTTGGATAGGCCTTGAAAAAATATTCTTTTAAAAATCCACGCCTTGGATAGGCCTTGAAAAAATATTCTTTTAAAAATGCACGCCTTGGATAGGCCTTGAAAAAATATTCTTTTAAAAATCCACGCCTTGGATAGGCCTTGAAAAAATATTCTTTTAAAAATCCACGCCTTGGATAGGCCTTGAAAAAATATTCTTTTAAAAATCCACGCCTTGGATAGGCCTTGAAAAAATATTCTTTTAAAAATCCACGCCTTGGATAGGCCTTGAAAAAATATTCTTTTAAAAATCCACGCCTTGGATAGGCCTTGAAAAAATATTCTTTTAAAAATCCACGCCTTGGATAGGCCTTGAAAAAATATTCTTTTAAAAATCCACGCCTTGGATAGGCCTTGAAAAAATATTCTTTTAAAAATCCACGCCTTGGATAGGCCTTGAAAAAATATTCTTTTAAAAATCCACGCCTTGGATAGGCCTTGAAAAAATATTCTTTTAAAAATCCACGCCTTGGATAGGCCTTGAAAAAATATTCTTTTAAAAATCCACGCCTTGGATAGGCCTTGAAAAAATATTCTTTTAAAAATCCACGCCTTGGATAGGCCTTGAAAAAATATTCTTTTAAAAATCCACGCCTTGGATAGGCCTTGAAAAAATATTCTTTTAAAAATCCACGCCTTGGATAGGCCTTGAAAAAATATTCTTTTAAAAATCCACGCCTTGGATAGGCCTTGAAAAAATATTCTTTTAAAAATCCACGCCTTGGATAGGCCTTGAAAAAATATTCTTTTAAAAATCCACGCCTTGGATAGGCCTTGAAAAAATATTCTTTTAAAAATGCACGCCTTGGATAGGCCTTGAAAAAATATTCTTTTAAAAATCCACGCCTTGGATAGGCCTTGAAAAAATATTCTTTTAAAAATCCACGCCTTGGATAGGCCTTGAAAAAATATTCTTTTAAAAATTCACGCCTTGGATAGGCCTTGAAAAAATATTCTTTTAAAAATCCACACCTTTTCTAGTCCTTGAAAAAATGTATTTTAAAAAACCACGCTTTTTATAGTCCTTAAAAAAATATTCCTTTAAAAATCACGCTTGTCCTTAAAATACATATCTATATTGATGTCCTAGATTTCACAAATTTTAAATTGCATCTGCAAACCAGATGCTCCTTAACCATGTCACGTTCTTAAAGAAGTAAATCATCCCAGATAATCTCGAAATTCGTGGGATACATAATCATCCACATTTAAAGATTTCCAAATCCCTTTCTTATCCTTATTACAATCTCTCATTGAGGTTTGACAAAATATTAAATTTTCCAAAAAAAAATAAAAATTCAACACGCCATCAAAATTTCCACGTAATATACAAAAGTCTATCCCACATATCTTTGCAAACTCAAATTGATTGCCATTGCCAGTGAAAAGGGTCCACTTGCACTTGTCTGGCATTTTAATTTTGTAACAAAATAACTTTTTGTCTTCTCGTTATTCATTTTTTTTCTTTTTTTTTTTTGTATTAGAAAAATATTAACAGAATTTCATTTAAAACATTTTTTTCTTTCATCTTTCACATAGATATCGAAATAAAACAAAATCTGTTATTGACTTTTTCTTGTTATTCGATGCTGTTTTGTATGCGGTTAACTAGCCTTACGCTTAGAAAAATAAAACAATAACCAGTCAAAAAACAAAAACGAATTCCAACAATTATTCAACCATCAATAACAAGGATTGTTATCCTTGTTAATGTCGAGGTTTGTTCACAAAAACACATTCCTTTTTTGTGTAAAATTGGAAAAATTATGTTGCCTGGCTGGCAGACTAGCTGGTTGAAATTACCAAAACAACAAATACACGTCGGTACATATCCAAACAAATTATTTTCATGTGCACAGACAAACAACATACAGGATAACCTGAATTTTGTTAAGGGATTTCGTAAACATTCACAGGGGAAATTTATTGTTGTTATTATTATTTTTGAAAGCAGTGAGAGAGAGAGAGAGAAGTCACATTAACACAAAATCGCTTTAATATATTGGGTAAATATTGCGGATATTCGGAATAATTAGAAGGCCTTTTAAAATATAATGCCCTTAATTCCAATAATAATACATAGGGTCCCGATTTCTTTAAGACCTGGGTTCATCTATAATTCAGTTATGAATACAAATATAATTTTTAAAAAATATGTATAGTCTATGAAAAAATATTCTTAAAAAATCCAGACATATTGGAGGTACTTGAGTAAATGTAATTAAAAAAGTCGTGGTTCTTATAGCCCCGTATTTTTTTAACATTCAGGCTTTCTATAGTCCTTGAAACAATATTCTTTAAAAAATCTGCACTTTTCTTTAAGAAATTTACGCTCGTTATAATCCTTGAAAAATATTTTTCTTATAGTCCTTAAAAAATATTCTTTACAATACCTACGCTCCTTAGCTTAAGAAAGCTTCTATATCTCTCTACTTTATATTTTTCAAGAAATCCAGACTTCTGTTGGTTCTTAAAAGAAAATTTCTTTGAACAATCCTCACATGTTGGTAAACCTCAAAAAACAATATTTTTGTAATAAATTTATTATTATTTTGTAATAAATTTATTCCTTATTCCTTGTAGTCCTTGAAAAAATATTCTTTAAAAACAATCAGCGCATCTTTTGGTCATTGAAAAAATATTCTTTTAAAAATTTGGGCTAATTATGAAAATCTGAACCGATTTTCACGAAACTTAGCGTGATGTATGCTAAGTTTCTAGACTTAATTCCGTACGCTGTGCCAAATTTCGTGCAAATCGAAATTTCGTGCAGATATAGGGACTTTGGAACACCATTTACATAAAATCTGACGAAACTGTGTATGGGAGCTATATCTAAACCTGAACCGATTTTCACGAAACTTAGCATACATCACTCTAGACTTAATTCCATATGCTGTGCCAAATATCGTGCAAATCGAAAGATATATAGGGACTTTGGAACACCATTTACATAAAATCGGACGAAACTGTATATGGGAGCTATATTTAAATCTGGACCGATTTTCACGAAATTTGGCAAATAACATTCTAGGCTTTATTCCGTACGCTGTGCCAAATTTCATGCAAATCGAAAGATATATTAGGATTTTGGGCCACCATGTACATAAAATCGGACGAAAATATATATGGCTATATCTAAATCTGAGCCGATTTTCACGAAACTTAGCATACATTACTCTACACTTAATTTCGTACGCTGTGCCAAATTTCATGCAAATCGAAAGATATATAGGGACTTTGGTGCACCATTTACATTAAATCGGACGATAATATATATGGGAGCTATATCTAAATCTGGACCGATTTTCACGAAACTCAGCACACATAATTCTAGGCTCAATTCAGTACGCTGTGCCAAATTTCTTGCAAATCGAAAGATATATTAGGACTTTGATACACCATTTACATAAAATCGGACGAAACTACATATGGGATCAATGTCTAAATCTGGACCGATTTTTCCCAATTTCAATAGGGTTGAGCCAAATAAGTGAACTGTGCCAAATTTCATTCAAATCGGATCATAAATGCGAACTGTACTTTGTTAAAAAATACATGGACGGACATGCGTAAATCGACTTAGAAAGTGATTCAATGCATATTCTCAAAAGGAACCATGGATCTATCTCGATTCCTTTTGCCTGTTACAAACATATGCACAAAGTCATAATACCCTGTACCACAGTGTGCTGAACGGTATGAAAACAATTTTTTTTTAAATTCCACGCTGGTTGCATGTCCAATAAATGTTTATTTTTAAGATCATGAAATATTGGGTTTTCAAAAAATATGTTTGTTAATATAATGTTTAAAAAATCAAATCTCTCAAAAAATATTTTTAATAGAAAAATAAACGCTTAATAAGGGTCATTGAATTTTTTTCCTTAAAATATCGATGCTTTATGGTTCTACTTAAAATAAAAATATTTTTTTGATTTTTTAAATCCACGCTTTAAATCTTCGCATTATTACTAAAAGGCCCAAAATCTCTTGGGCCCAGTTTAATCTCCCCGCTGTCACTGTATGCTAAACAAATACCTAGGCATACAAATACAACACAATTACATGTACGTCCTGCATTCCAGGCAGCCGGCTTTTTAAATTTGTTAACCTAAAAGAGAAACGACAACAACATCGATCATCATATAACAACAACAAAAAAGAGGGGTAGGTTAGGATAAGGATGTGCCTGTGATGTATATGTATATGTGTGTGTAAAGTACTACTGCATGGTGAGGTAGTCTGGCAAATTACACACACACATACAAACATTTACCAAAGATAAATATTACCCGTGCCACACAGGGTGGAAAATAAACAATCACGTTTGACACTGAAAATCAGTTGAATTCGGTTTAGTTACGGGGAATGTTCACCGGTACAGGAGAGACAAAAACGAAGTAGCAAAAGAAGAAAAAAACGAAATGAATTAAAAGTCGAAATGACAAAAGCGAAGCGTTGTAAAAATAATGTGAAAATATTCAAGTGATGCATACCCCCCTCTCCCAGCCAGGATCTAATTTACATCTTTAAGATGTTAATTTTTATGTAAATTATTTACAAGATGTGATGAAGTGTAACAGAGAGAGGGAGTGAAAGAGAGAGGATATAAGAAAAAATAAAATTTAACCCTTTAAGAGTTGCATACAATGGCTCCTTTTAACATGTGTGTCCTTTAAAGTCTAAAAGTGTAAATTAAAAATCACAAAAATAAGAATTACAACAAAAAATAAAAAAACCCTTAAGAAAGAAAAAAGAATCGTCGACAATGGAACGACGTAAATCGAATCGTCATTCATATATCAAACTAGTGGCCGCCACTAAGGATACTACTACGCGTTCGGCACAAATAGCGGTCGGCGGTACAACATTACGACGTTCACGTTCTATGCGCGATTCGATACGTAAACTTCGTGTTCGCCTCAATAGTCATCATCATTCGGTTGTGGCCAATTCACCGTTCAAATTCAATTTTGCCGTCCATAATCGTGAAAGACATTATGAAAAATTTACCGAATTTTCCGAATCGGATATTGAGCTGGATTCGAAGGAAATCGAAACGCCAATATTGAAACGTAAAGAGAAATATTCGAAGGCAACGAAAACGACAGATATGGATTTAATGATGTCGTGCGGTGATACAATTGAGGATTTAATGTCGAATCTGCCGGTACCGCGTAAGGCATGCAAACTATTACAAATACCCGAAACCTATTGTGCAAAATATCTACAAGAACAACAACAACAACAGCAGCAATATCTACGTAAATGTGCAAATAACAAAGATTGTGAAAATTATCACGAAATCGAGGATATCTATTCGACGAACTCTGAAATCTTGTCCCACAATCGTAAAAATCAAATTTACGATGATTTAACGAAAAGTTTAAGCCATGGAATTTACGGTACAACCCGACATCGTACGGCAACAATACGTAAACCCATGCCATACCTGAATAGTAGTAGGTGTCCCGATTTTATTTTCGTTTTATTATCGTTGTTGTTATTGTATTTTAAGTGTTTGTGTATTTTTATTAATAAGGGTTGGCTGATGTACGGCAATATCTACCCAGGTGTCAGACAGGATTTTTATTTTATCACCCCGGTTATCTGTTTAAGTATGTGTGCGTGAGAGTTTATGCCAAACAAACATACAAAATTCCATGGATTTTATTTTCTCTAATTCATGGTTAAGTGGAATTTTTTTGTTAGAAGCTTAAGGCCGAAAAGACTCATTGTCACGTAATTCGATGAAATTTATTTGTATGGGATTGAAGGTTTTATTTTCTGTAGATTTTTAAAGGATATTTTTAAGGCCATGAGAGTGTAGATTTTTAATGAAAACTTTTTAAGGTTTTTTTAAAAGAAGAATAAAAAAGAGCGGGTTTTTCATAGAGTATTCTCCAAACTCTAGCTTGAAGAAAAATATTTTTTCAAGAACCAATCCAGGCGTAGATTTTTTTAAGAAATATTTTTTGTGGACTAACAGAAGCGAAGATTTGTTAAAAATACTTTTTTTCCGAGGACTAAAAAAGAGTAGATTTTTTAAGAGAACCAGTAAGGAAAGTAGTAAGGTCGAGCGGGGCCGACTATATGATACCTTTCACCACTTTGGGTATATTCAACAGATGAATCCTAACAGACGTCGAATTCTTGAAGGAGCATTAACATGAAAAGGGATCCATAAACATGTCATTCTGCACCTATACTAAATTTTTCATTTAGTCATATATAGGGTTTGCTTCTTACAATGAGACAAAATTGTGTAAATAAATATAAAGCAAATATCAAATATCGATATCAAAATCGGGAGAAAATATATATATGGTAGCTCAATTCAAATCTGAAGCAATTTTCACACGCTCGGTTATATTATCTTCAGTACATTGTGCAAAATTTTGTAGCAAACGGCCCAACTTTGGGTCTTTGGTGCACATTTTACTTAAAATCTGACGAAACTATATATATATAGGAGCTATATCAAAATCTATACCGATATCAACAAAACTTGCCACACGTTATGTTATAGTAACTTCAGTACGTAGTGCAAAATGTTGTAAAGATTGAACCTACCTTGGTGAAGCATTTATATCCAACATCTAGTTTATACGGAAATATATATGTAGAAGCTATACCAAAATCTGAACCGATTTCAATGAGACTTGCCAAAGATTAATTTATATTAACTACAGTTCATTGTATAAAATTGTGTGGCAATCGTACAAACTTTGGGTCTTTAGTACATAAAATCAGAAGGAAAAAGATAAAGGAGCTATATCCAAAATTTGTACCGATTTTCAGAAAACTTGACATACATCATTCTAGACATAATTCAGTACGCTTTGTCAAATTTCGTGCAAATCGAAAGATATATAGGGACTTTGGTACACCATTTACATTAAATCATACGAAAATATATATGGGAGCTATATCTAAATCTGAACCGATTTTTCTCAATCCCAATGATGGGTATAACAGTTTTGGAGGTATAAAAGAAGGGTCGATTTTTTAAAGAATATTTTTCGAGCGCCAAAAAATTTTATTTATAAAAGAAACTATAAAAAATCAATATGATTTTTTTGGTTTTGTTAACCTTACGATCACGTTTTGTCCTCCATTCTTTGGAATAGGCGTAAAATCATTAACCAGTTTTTTTATTTTTCTATTTCGATTTAAGACGAAAACCAAATATTTGGAAGATAATATCAGCTATTTGCTGTACATATATTGTTGTGCGTTATTACAAAAACAATAACAGACCATATAGCACGACCCACAATTGTTGTTGCTATTATTGCGTGTCTCTGGGTTTCCTCATCTTTTTTTTCCATACAGGGTCAGTCAGTTCAGTTGTGATGATTAATCGTTGGATGACGACAATATTGACAACATAAATTGGTCAACTCAAAAGCAAAACCTTAAGAATGACATGGAATTTGAATAAATGTGAATATTTATTTAGAATTTTTTATGTTATACAATATATGTATATTCTTTTATTTTTCGGTATTTCAAAAAAAGAAGTTATTGTTTTAGTTTCTATTCTTCAAAAAATCGCTAATGTCTTTACAGCTCATTTAGTTAAGGCTTTGTTATAACTCGATTTCACAAATTATACCAATTATTATACAAAACAAGTGGTGTATTTTATGAGGTTTTTTACAGGTTTTTTGTTGTTGTTGATGTTGTTGCTATTTTGATTAGTTCATCTATTTTTATTCTATTAGGAAACTTAGAATTTATTTTCATTTTTTTTTTTCATTCTCATAATGAAATTTATTCATTTACTCCCATATAAATCATGATCATCATCGTCACTATCGCCACAATAATCCCGCCACACAATGAATAGAAATATTTTTTGCGTAATTCATGGAATTCAAGTCAAAAGTCATTAAATGTGAATTCGAACATGTGAATGTGCATAGAATAAGAATACAGAGGGAACATGTTACTTTTTTCTCTTATTGTTGTTATTATCATCGTCGTTGTTGTTGTTATTGTCATTATTATTTCATTCATCAACGAAATATGCAGGCCGGCAGGGAGATAGTCGTATGCACACACGTAATATGTACGTGTGTATTATTTATGTATGCATCATGTTATTACTATATGAGTGCATGAATGCATCAATGAATATATGGGTTATTCCATGGTAATTGAGATCATGAGGGAATAGAAAATATCCATAGCTATCCTATATAAAGTAGGGATTTTTGAGTCGAAAAAGTACCCTTATATAAATAAATATATATATATATATATATATAAATATTATATATATATAATTTTTTTTTTTTTTTTTTGAAAAAAATAATACTTTTTACGACGTACTTTTGGTAATACTTCATTCACTACATTGGTTCTCATGACGGCTAAGAAACGTCTGCTGATTTTCGTTGGCTAATACCCAGCTCAGATTGAACCCACACTCACTGAAAGCAAGCCTATAACTTACCAGTAGCTCCATTAGCTGGCGAAGAAATTAAATTAGATTTATATGCCCCCAGTTTTCGAATTCCGACAGAAGATATAACTCCTTCACGAGGTATTCTATAAAAATAACAAGAATATATAGATTTTCGAAAGATATGTACGGGGCTCAATATATAAAAATGCTTCTAGAAATGCAGGTGTATTCTGCACATGGTTTGGGTCTTCTAGGCCGAACTTTTTGTACCATCCAATCGTTTAATGTTTGTTAGGAAGATTTGGCAACCGATGAGAACGCAAAATATTAGTTTATAGTCAATTCGGTGAAAAAACATTCAGGTTCTATATAGAACCTATCCCGAAACTTGACTAATTATTTATAATTTTTATTATGCAGATTTTCACACAAATGAGATCCAATGTATTGAATTACAACCAATTTGTTTGAAAACCGATACCGAAAATACCGAAATATTAATAATTTTTTCTATATAAAGTACTGATTTTTAGAATCCGCCAGAAGATATAAAACCTTCACGTGGTCTTTCGTAAAAAAAAAAACAAGAAAATAGAGATTTTCGAAAGCTTCTAGAAATGCCGGTGGATTCTGCAGTCTAAGACCAAAACGGTCTCCTGAGATATGTTTTAGGATTTCAAAAGGTATTTTATACCCCGTAATCGCTTATTATTTTTATAGGGAGCATCAAATAAACAGCCAATTTGTTTGAAAACCATGACCAAATTTCCGATAATACAGAAATTTTGGAAGTATCTCTGAAAATTTGACAAATATAATTTTTAGTAGGAATATTTGTTATCCAATCAGAATGCCAAATACTATATACATTCAAATTGTTTGATTTCGTTCCAAAAATACCGAAAAATATGCAGATAACTTTATATGGTGGCTGCCTTAAACGTAAATCAATCTTGATAATTTTTGATAGGGAATTTCCCACATGCCCAAACTTCCAACTAATTCGACATTTGATAATCACCATTATGTGAGGGCTAGCCTATAAATGTGAACCCATGTGTCGATATTTTTTGGTATGAAGATGTTCTACCCATTTGGAATTTAAAATACGATATTACACCCACTTTGATCGAAAAATTGGCCCAAACACCCCAAAATATCGTAGTTTGCGAGATACCTTTATATGAGTGCCACCCTAAAAAGGAGATTTTTCGAAGTGTTGCAAACGGGATGAGTTAATATGCACTCAACCTTTAATTGGAGGATATAGAAAATTTGGAGAATTCCTTCATTCCTTTCGAGAATTTCAATGGAATTCCTGTTGTCTATAAACTTCTATAGGGTTCCTATACCTTATGCATGTTCCACGGGTATTGAAAACTATCAGAAGATATTTTTAGGATAACCTATGTGCAGAGAACTATGGTTAGAGGTATAAATACAAAATTACACTTCGGAAATTGCTTTATACGGTATCCTTTAAAGCAGGTCCGAGTATCAATCAAAATCCCTCTTTATGAGGCCTTCTGGATATTCCTTGGGAAATAATAATAACTATTCTATGCATATGATATACAAGGGCCGTTCGAAAAGTTCTTAGTCTAGGACAAAAAACACGGTATAAACAGAAAAAAGTTAAGTGTTTTGGAAACTTCCATCTGTGTTATGAACACATGTTAAATTTTGTTTCGATCTGGCAACTCCTTCATATAGGAACATGTATTTAAAAAAGACGTATCCGCAATTTTTTTTACAATGAAAACACGCATTTCTAATTTTTATATTGCAAAAAAAAATGCGGATACGTCTTTTTTGAACCCCTGTTTCTATATGAACGAGTTGACAGAACGAAGCCAAATTTAACGTGTGTTCATAACACAGATGAAAGTCTCCATGTGGGATCTTTATTGTGTATAGAAGACTTCATGCAGTTCTTATGTGATTCCTGAGATTTTATAGAATTATACAGAACACTTCCCGTGGATCTTCTGCTTATATAGAAGCACTCTCTCTTGATTTTCTATGTATGGAAGCATTTTTGTAGGA